ATTTCAAATTAAATGTTATAATTACAGTTATGGCCAGGTTTTGTTTACAGTTTTGGTCTGGCTACGGGCCATCATATTACTAGTATCATGTGCAAAACGAAACGTCCTCAAATCAAGAAAAATTAGAAAATAGTCTCCATAATACTACAGTGGGGAAAGAATTAACTGGAGATTTGCACATCATCGCGTTTATCTCCTAAACTGCACACTGTTCCAGCCTCCCACCCCCCTCCCAAAATAAAGATAATAATAATAATAAAATATATATATAAAAAACATCGACATACACTGTAGATGTCATTATTACCTATGTAGAGAAAAGACGTTTTCACTATGAACTTCATGCTATACTGAATGGCAATTTTTTCCGGGGTTTAGTGACTCAAATTACGATCGGCATATAATTTTCTACCGTACGAGACATCTTCAAATCAATTCTTTTACATAAGAAAAGACGTTTTCACTATGAACTTCATGCTATACTGAATGGCAATTTTTTCCGGGGTTTAGTGACTCAAATTACGATCGGCATATAATTTTCTACCGTACGAGACATCTTCAAATCAATTCTTTTACATTCATTTATGATAGTTCACAGTACGACGATTTCTCAACTGAGCGATTTCATTTCAAATAATAAAGAAAAACTGTGGCTACCTTTAGTTACTGGGCGCACATCTGATCTGCAATGTGATGCTTGGAACGTGCGGCGAACGTAGAATTAGCTTCAAGGCTTCAGTGATTCAGATACCCTTAGTCTTGCCTTATCTAACAAATTTCAGAAGATTTGATTGTCCTACAGTACACATTTACAAATAATTTAAGGTAGGTAGTTAATCAATCTTTCATAAAGAAGACCTCATGGGTGCTTGAAAAAAAAGACCCTGCTGTCATTGTCGATAAATAAGCTAAAGTCAATGTTTCCAGGAGGTAGATATCTATTTTGTCCGTCGGTTTCGTGCTGCTTATATGGGAAATATAATCATGCCTGAAATTAGCCAATCATGTCACAAGTTGATACAGATGCTTGTCAACTGCGAATAATTTTGCACGTAAGCGCTTTTATTTACAAATCAGTCGACTATAGGAATCACTTTGGACAGACTTCTATATTTACGACAGCAAACATTCTGATCATACAGTGTTCATAGATTATCGCTGCTAACATTTCATTGACCATATCCGCAGACTGAAAAGTAAGAACCAAATTTCACCTATTCTCTTCCATTCATTTCACGCAGTGGAGCTTTACATGTAAGCTGTTACTTAAGGGACACTCAACATTAAAAAGTCTTCTGAATTATTGATTTCTAATTATTGTATATGAATTAGTCGTTCTTTTTACTGCTAGCGGCACGAAACTTCAAACCGGTTGTTTAGTCCATAGATACATATTGTTTTTCTTTGAAATAGCTTAAAGTATAGCTATATTTCTGACACTATTTTCTGCAAGTCTTACACTGCAACTTTTTAAGTAAATACATATATGCATATTTACCTTCTAGAATTAAAATCGATGATTCTTATGAGCTTCAGTGTATACAAATTAACAACGATTGTGCTATGATTACAGATTTCCAAACGGATTTCATTCGCCATTGTGGACAATTGAAATGATTTCTGACCTTGTCAATGAAAACATTTAGTGCTGTGCCGATGCTCTCCGTCTCTGCGGAAGAATCATGGCATTTCATCACTCAGATCAATACGTAGTACTCTATTCCTTGGCCAAAAAACATTGTAAAGAAATAACTTATCAACAAAACTGACGCTGTAATGAGATGAATATTACTCACTGTTAGCTACGTCTTACTGGAAACTTCGCTGGTCTGCTCCTCATATTGTAATGCAAATTCTACTGCTAACAATGTCAATGGAGGCCGTTAATAACACAAAGAGTTCTGGACGATAACGGATTCGTAAAGGTGTTTTATTCTATGCGACATGTAGTCTAAATCGTGCAAGTGATAGCTGCCTAGATTTGGAAAAAATAATCGCTTATTTACGCTTTAAGAGCTGAATTTGCTCACAAGGCATATTACCATTCTGAAACGGAATCAAGTTTCGAAAAAATGTAACAAAGCAGATCTTTAACAGCATCAGGAAAACTCATTCTTTTGGATTAAAAAATGGATATATTAGGCAATGAGAACCTCATGTTTAAATAGCAGATAATCACAGTAATATATGGAAATAATTTTCATAGAAAGAGGTTTTCAAAAATATCCACAAGGAAAATATAAAAAGTAATTCAGTACGTGTGGAAGCCAGCAAACGTCAAACATAACTCTGCAAAGAAGTTTGGAAACTTATATATAGTACGGTACAAAAATCTCCCAGGATAAAAACTGTAAATTGCATATTTATCTTCCTTTATGTCAAAACGTTTAGAGTTACAGCTCTTTGAAATCTACGAAAATTTAAGGAGTATTTTCGCTCATAGATTTTAACACTGAATTTCCAAATGTACAGAATTACACGAAATTTGGTTCAATACCTTTTCACCCATTCTTCATCAGGAAGCTTTTTAAAGCTAAAGAACCATTCTCTAACCTCTGCTCTATGACGAAGAAAAAAACTTACCTTTTTATCATCAAAACATCAATTCTTTGGTGGCATAAAATCCCATTAGAACTCGGAATTTTTGCTAAAGTGGTTCGTTTCCATGGAATTAAAACTGGTTTACTTGGAAAAATTATTATTGAAAATATGCCAGAAAGAATGAAAATTTCTTAAGACACCAACTAGCTATCGTGCATACACCTGCTGGGGTAAAGAAACTACTTGGCGAATTGGTCAATTTGATATAATTGAGGCAAGCATAATCACAGTAATGAATTTTTANACCTTTTCACCCATTCTTCATCAGGAAGCTTTTTAAAGCTAAAGAACCATTCTCTAACCTCTGCTCTATGACGAAGAAAAAAACTTACCTTTTTATCATCAAAACATCAATTCTTTGGTGGCATAAAATCCCATTAGAACTCGGAATTTTTGCTAAAGTGGTTCGTTTCCATGGAATTAAAACTGGTTTACTTGGAAAAATTATTATTGAAAATATGCCAGAAAGAATGAAAATTTCTTAAGACACCAACTAGCTATCGTGCATACACCTGCTGGGGTAAAGAAACTACTTGGCGAATTGGTCAATTTGATATAATTGAGGCAAGCATAATCACAGTAATGAATTTTTAACGAACGTCGCATGAATTAAATTGATAGGAACAAAGATACATCTTAAAGTAGGAGGAACAAAAACATTTTGAACGAAAGGTCAAGCTATCAAAGGTAGATGGAATAGAAGGCTGCGAAGGATAGAGTTGCTAAGCGAAACTTTACACCAATAACAAGCCAGCGTAGCCAGTTTTGGTTTACACGCACAGTTTGGCGTTATACCAAAGCAGATTTTATATTTCTCTCTCACCAGTCTCTTTGATAACAGTATTATTCTTACTGAAGGTAAATTAGTTTGTTGTTTCTACTTTTTGAATAGATATCATCAAGTCATTGTGAATGGAAATAATTTCAGGTTTGAATTGTAACTCCTACGCGAATTAGTGAAAATCAAGAAATTACTGTTTTTGTTTTGCACTGAGCATGGAGCGTAACGTTCCATAGTATTGTCTGTGCACCACACGCGGCGGTAAAGCAATCTTTTAAATATTGATATTTACTTAGAAAGGTTTCAAAATCTTAATTTCACTTTTGTGTGTTAATTGTTATCCAAATTTGTGAATCAAACATGGTTAATGGATTCTTTCCATTTAGAACCACAACAAATCAAGCCGGCCCTTGAGTTATCTTAAAGCCAAAGAAAAAGCTAGAAAATTCTGTTAACCATACAAAAAGCCATCACAACATTTTAACAGAGTTACCATGGGGTCCGGGGGTACCCCCTTAGTTTGCCTAGAGGGTGTGCTTTTGGACCAGAAGCCTTTAAAAGAGTGTAAGGGCTGCAGATGAGGGGTCTACATTAGTGGCGCCAACATTTTCCGCCCAAAACATTTTGTTCCATGATATTGGTTTGCAAAGTACCTAACTATGTATGCAAAACGAAACGAATTAGGTAGTCATAAAATAAGATTTGACTCTTGTATTAAACAGGGTAGCGAATTAAGCAGAAGCAGACTTGCTCCCCATACCGTAAAGTTCCGAAAGTAACGACCCCCCGAAAGTATCGACCTTTAGTTCAAAAGTAGTGATAAAATTTCACGGGTGTTAGCAAATACCAAAAGTAGCGACCCTCCGAAATCTAGAAATAACGGAAATTATAGTAACAACAAGCTTTACCAAACTAATCCTAGATTTATTTTTAACGGTTATAATGATCTTTGACATTCCTTTATGTGACTCATTTCAAAAAGTCTTCCTTTCGTCTGTGAATACCCATACCGTAACCAAACAATTCTTTTGAATCTTTATTTAGAAAGCAATAACATGAAATAAGGTTCTCCAAAAGACCTCAGCGAACTCCTGAAAGTAGCGATAGGAAAAGGCTGCGAAATCCAAAAGTAACAAGGGTCGTTACTTTCAGAACTTTACTGTAGTACAAAAGTCTGTAAAATTCGCCGACTTTGTGGAGCTCGTCAGTTTTCAACAAATAGCGTTCAAACTTTGGCATCTTGACCAATGGTAAGCCGTTCTTTTGAGCCGTGTTGACGTATTTATGATTGCTGGTCCCAGTCAAAGGTTAAATAAAACCGTCGAAAGGTCTATTCCTTCACGCACCATGCGCTTCTAGCGAAAACTTCCCAGCACCATGATGGAAAGGAAAGTTAAGTTGAAATCTTTGCCGGCTGTGTTTGCAACGCTGGGATTTGTTGTAGTAAGGTTTGATCCGGTTTCCTGTGCATCGTTTGGTGCATAAGGATTAAATTGGAATAACTGAATCATTGTTCCATTGACCTGTTTCTCCACTTGCGTGCATTTTGTGTTTTCCACGACACTGACATTGTATTGAGCCCGCGTTATCACTGAAAAGTTATTTTCTTTGATGTCCTTCAACAAAACTGTCTTGTTGACGCCAAATAAGGTCTCTTTTTTCCATCATAGTATTTTACTGTTGCGTTTAGTTCTATGAGGCTGCGTTCAATGCCTTGTCTCAGAGTATGAAATTGGTACGATAGTCCCAGACATAAGCTTCCAGTGGAATCCAGTAATCTCACTGTTTCAGATGACAACCTGACGGCTCGCTGTTTAGGAATAGATACGTAGATTCCGTGCACTGGAAATCCGACCCGATAAACTGGAGCTTTAGCCAGCACATATCTGGTGATAATATACGAGCCAGTCACGACTTTCGTGAATAACTTTGAACGAGAAAGGATTTTCGTTTGGCTATAGATTACTGGAGTGCGGAATGTGGTTGGCTTGATCGGCGTGTTCTTGGTGATTCGTCTCAGTGTCGTTCTACTTCGTCCACGGCTCCCGGCCCAGCTTCGACGGCCACTCCTACTGGTGCCCTCGCCCCGCCCTCCTCGAGCATCAGTAACATCTAGAAGCAGCACGACTACCAAAATTACGAGCAAAAAAGTGATGAGGTATCTCATTGTCAGTCATACGCTAACCTCAGCAAACCGTACTGCTGACAAACTTTGTATGTATTTGTACAAATACATATGCATTTGTATCAAAGGTCCAATATTACTGATACTTTGACGTAAAAGTTAAATAACTGAATTCCGCAATATTACTGATACTTTCAATATTACTTATACTTTGACGTAAACGGTAAATAACTGACTTCCTCATGGAAAAAACTTAAGTAAGAACTAAAATTTCTCTTTGAGATTTTCTCTTCCCTGACCGAAAAAGAAAATTAGGTCAAGTTAGGTGGAACGGCCTTTTCTAATTGGTTCATTTCGTTCAAATCAAGCAGGCCTTCAAGGAATAAGAAATTAGCTTCAGAATTCAAAATAACTGGCCAATTTCCTTTATATTTGTTTTGTTAGACTAAGGCTATCCAGGGGCGGATCCAGGATTTTTTTTAGGAGGGGGTGCACTCGTCTCTTGCTCTACTTCAACACCAATATACCACATAGTTTTTTTTGCAGAATACCAGTTGTATTACAAAACCGCAGGTCATCTCAGGGGGGGGCGGCGGGTGCGCTCCCCCTGCACCCTCCCCCTAGATCCGCCCCTGCTAGCCACGAAAATCACACCGGACAGGGCTTCTGTTCACACTCAAGAACGGGTAATACATTGCGGCCGCGCAATTTCTGTGACTGAGCGAAGCTGCCGCGCGAAGCGCCGCGCCGATGGAGCGTCACATATCGGATAGGTTTTGTGCTATACTTTGGTGCAGTGTGAACACCTGTTCGGTCCGTCGCGGAAGTGAATAAGTAGAAGCGAGGACTGGTACCCACTGAGACGGAAGTAAATATTCAGGAGTGAGGACTGGAATTTAGTACACCAAACCGTCACGGCCAACCGCGCCGGCACGATATTTGATCTGTGTGAGTGACTTGTGATGCCCCGGGCCGTTGCACACACTTGGCGCCACTAAAAGCTACCCGGTATAGCCTAAAGTTATTCCGGCTGCACGGTGTCAAACATCTTGTTCACTGCACGACTACGACGTAAAACCTCCCAATGCGACGTTTTATGAAGGACGTGGACAATACGACGACAAATTTTCTTTTTTCTATTTGAACATGGGTGAAGCCCTTAAGAATTCAGCTCCAGGAAAAGTCGCCTACATTTTACGAATTAAGCGGTTCCCAATAGACGTGATAAAGTTTGAAAGGACGCAAATCCCATTTTTTAGTGGTGTTTTCACTGCCGTTGTCTTCGTTGTTGCTTAAGGTCCCAAATGCCTTCAACGACAGGCCTTAGTAAGAAATGTTATTATTATTATTCTTTGTGGTTAGTGTTTGTTCGTTTTGGTGCGACACATAGGGCGTATTCTGTGAATTCTAATGACTGTATATTCCAAAAGCACGATATTTATGTCGTCGGTAAAATAATGGTGGGGATGATAAAAGTCGAGCCATTTTCCTGGAGACCAGATACTCAATATGATTCTTAAATCAGTATAATGATTAACAAGGTTTCTGTTCATCAAAATATCACTATTTCAAGTTTACACAGTTAACGCAATTAACCAGTAAATTATTAATTGAGTAAGCAACTTTACCCAGCTGTATATCACTATTATCATTATATTATAGAGTGTCTTTTCTGCAAGCATTCGAAAGCGCTTACATGTTATTGAAAATCTTAAAAAGTAAAAACTATAAACTTCGCAAAGCAGGTATAATATCGGACCTAAAACAGAGTCCTGTGGAGCCCTACCATAATGCAATGGCCGACTGGATATACCGTATCAAATATCGCTCGAATACAATGTCGCGGTAACTGAAAGAGTAACAGTAAAGGAGCCATGTAACAAGTTAGAGGGTTACTTTGAGGGGATTTATTTGCGTCTTACGAAAGTCCTAAAGTTCTAATCCCATAAATCTTTATCAACAATGGTTACTAACACTGAGCTAACAAAATTAATTGTCAATTGGCCATTTTACTTACGCTCGAGACTGGATGAGAGTTGGGAGTCCTGTACATATCGCAATGGCCAACAGAAACTTAATTTAGCGAAAAGATAGCGTCCCCAAAACACCGACCCAGTCGTAATCCGCGCAACCTAACAGTGCCCAGCACGAGATAAAATGACATCCACGAAAGATCTTACAAATCAGTTATTTCCAGGAGAGGTTTGTAATTACTGACAGTCCATAACGCTATCCACCTGATAAATCACTAGGCCAAATCACTATGCAGTGGATAAGTATTAGGAAAAACAAGTTTTCAGCGATTTATCTGGTGATTAGCATAATCCACCTTTTGAACGACTGGGGCCTGATCGGAGTTTTAACACAGAGGTACTGATTTGAAGTTCAAATGATGCGTGTTCACAAGCTTCTGGACTTTGCTTTTGATTTGTTTTTAATAAACTGCTTTTTCCTCCTTCCTTAATGAATCCGTACTCATCTTTTCACATAGAATGAGCTTAAAATTTAAGCGAAGATGTTCCCTGTATTGGGGTTGGTGATTCTGCGTCCAGTTGAACGACCCCGTGAACTTGTTCTACTGCTTCGACCACTGCCGCTTCGGCCACCGCTTATCCGTACTCATCTTTTCACACTCTAAATCCTTCGACTTCTCACCATTAAACTAGTGTAAATACTGGATGATAAGAATCATATGGATCCTAATTGCCTCCTGTCTGGAGTCTCCCGATCTTAAATTGATTACAGTACAATTGCGCTTATGTTAGTTCAGCTAGTCACGGCTATACAAGACTTTTTTTAATTGTGCAAATGATTTCAGAACAGGTTGGAATCATAAAAAGTTAACGTCTTATTAAAACTGTTGAAAATTGTAGTCATTGAGAAGGAAGTCAGAAAGAGCTTAAAATTTAAGCCAAGAATATTCCCTGTATTGGGGTTGGTGATTCCGCGTCCAGTTGAACGACTCCGTCCACTTGTTCTTGTTGTCCTACTACTTCGTCCACTGCTGCTTCGGCCGCCGTTGCATAATTTGATCGACCTCCTTGGGCATCGATGTTATCTAGCAGCAGTAAGACCACCACAATTATGACCAAAAGAGTGGTAATTCTGCCTCCAGTTGAGCGGCCCCCTCCACTTGTTCTACTGGTCCTACTGCCTCCTCCACGACTGCCTCGGCTGCCCCTTGATCGACCTCCTCCGCGGCCTCCGCGGGCATCGACGTCACTTAGCAGCAGTAAGACTACCACAATTATGACCGAAAGAGCGGTAATGTTTCTCATATTCGTCTTAAGAAACCGTAATACTTGTCAACTAGTTGCCTTCTAAATAAACTGAAAACAACCAGCACAGTGTCGTGGTTTGTATAGAAAAATGTAAGTGGGCCAATATATCATCTGACGTAAATGGAAAAATACTGAAAATTTACAAGCAATAAACATTGCAAAGTCATAACTATTTGCGTCTGAAATTTTTCACACCGAAATGGTTTTACACGAACGAAACTTCCTCTGGCACGTGCAAACCCGATAAGAGAAGTTTTTTGCAAGGAGGTTTAATTTTGAAAGTTGGATTCTCTGGCCAGCTGACGAGAAAGTTACGTTTCCTAGCCAAAAATGTTCATTCTAATTAGTTTATATCATCCAAAGCAAGCCAAAAAGGCGTAAGACTTGGTAAATTTCTTCGGATTGTCGATATACCTGAGTGATTTCGACCAGTCGGTTTTTCTTTTGGCAAGCATTTCCTTTAACTCCGGGGTATAGAGTATGTGCGCGGCAGCCATGTTGGAGGCGTAAAACAATAAAGCGATTTTCCTTTGGGGAAAAGTTTCATTTTTTTGCAAATAACTTTTCATTGTGACACCTCCAACCTGGTCGTCGCGCACAGACTTTATAAGGTAGGGGTAAATTTATTACCATCTATACTGATATTAGGCTCAGTCTCCAGCCTTCGGTGTTTCGATGCGTCCGCGGCACCACATCGAGACACCCAGGGCTGGATCGCCAGGCCTCAAACTTCAGGACTAGTCAATATTTTTCTCTCTCGTCAAACTGGTTTTTCGAGTACGAGCATCCGTTGATTTAAACCGATGGTCGTAACCCGCTGTAGCAAAACTATACGTCAGGTCTTAGTGTGTTTTCAGTGTAGTTTGGGGTGACACTTTCATGATTTTCGTGGCAAATATAGAAATCGTGAACCTGTCATTTAGTAGCTCTTAGTTTCTCTTGCTTGTTTTTTCCCACACATGTGTCCATCTCATTCATACACCTAATTGCAACAACCTTGTCATAGAAATAAGCAGAAAAAAGGGACAGGAAAACGCTAAATAGGAATGAATTAGGCACGCTCACTACATTTCTGGATCCAGTCTAAAGCCAAAGAATGAAGAAGAAAACCTCTTTACAGTTTTCAATTTACCTTCCTTCAGCTCATTTGATGTGAAATTGAAGTATAATTCTCGCGAAGCGAGTTTATAATCTAGTCGTGCTTGTGGATTTAGCCAGCTGCAAAATCGGATGCCCCCAGCCACGTTCCCAACCGTCCTCGGCGATTTCGGATGTGACGTCACCTGTCATACTTGTCGGGAAAATTCGCCGAGGACTCGTGCTATCACGCTCGGTTCCAAGCCTCCTCTGGCCACTCGGATAGCGCGAACTGGCCTGGGTAAGAGGCTGGGATGCCTCATTTTTCTTACTAAGTACCTCGATGTATCTCTTTGTGTCCGCCCTGACGTCATGAAGCGTTACGTCATGGGGCATTTTTTGTTTCCAGGCAACATAGACTTTGCGTCAATGGCCAGGGCGCACTTTTCATGTTGTATTCATGAAAGGCTGATGTGTTTATTCATCGTCCGCTGTGAAACTTATCTGGTGAATAGCATAATCCACCTTTGAACAACTGGGACTTGATCAGGTTAAGTTGATTTTTAACGCAGAGGTACTGGTTTAACGTTCAACTAATGTGTGTTCACAAGCTTCTAGACTTTGCCCTTTGTTTTTAAATAACCTACTTTTTCCTCCTTCCTTAATGAATCCGTACTCCTCTTTTCACACTCGAAATCCTTCAACTTAATTCTCACCATTGAACGAGTGTATATACGGGATGATAAGAATCATAAGGATCCGAATTTCCTCCCGTCCGGAGTCTCCCGATCTTAAATTGTTTACAGTACAATCGCGCTTATGTTAGTTCAGCTAGTTACGGCTGTGCAAGACTATCTATTTTAATTGTGCAAATTATTTCAGAACAGGTTTCAGAACTATTGTTAAAGTCCCGATTTCAAGGCTTCTTTTAAAGAGGTTGGAATCATAAAAAGTTCACGCCTTATTAAAACTGTTGAAAATTGTAGTCATTAAGAAGGAAGTCAAAATGAGCTTAAAATTTAAGCCAAGAATGCTCCCTGTATTGGGGTTAAATTCATATAACTGAACCATTGTTCCACTGAATTGTGTCTCCACCTGTGTGCAGTTTGTGTCTTGTAAGACAGTAACATTGTATCGCGCCCGAGTTGTCACTGTGAAGTTCTTTTACTTGATGTCCTCTAGTGAAACTGTGTTGTTGACGCCAAAAAGAGTCTCGTCTTTTTGTGGACTATCCCTGTATTTCACTGTAGTTTCGAGTTCTAAAAGGCGGTTTTCGATTCCTTCTTCAAGAGTTCGGTTTATACCCGACAGTCCCAGGCACAAGCTTCCATTATAATCAAGTAATCTCACTCTTTCAGTCGACACCCTTACGGCTCGGTCTTCTGGAATGGAAACGTAGCTTCCGTGCACTGGAAATCCATCTCGGTAAACTGGAGCGTTAAGCAGTGTATATCTGGTTATAAGATAGCCAGCCGCGAATTTGGTGAAGAGTTTGGTGCGCGAAACGCTTCGGGTTTGGGCCTTGATAACAGGAGTACGGTAAGTGGTTGGCGTGATCGGGGTGGTCCTGGTGATTCTGCGTCCAGTTGAGCGGCTCCCTCCACTTGTTCTACTTGTCCCACTGCTTCCTCCACGACTGCCTCGGCTGCCGCTTGATGATCGACCTCCTCCGCGGCTTCCGCGGGCATCGACGTCACTTAGCAGCAGTAAGACTACCAAAATTATGACCGAAAGAGCGGTAATGTTTCTCATATTCGTCTTAAGAAACCGTAATACTTGTCAAATAGTTGCACTCTAAATAAACTGAAAACAACCAGCACAGTGTCGTGGTTTGTGTAGAAAAATGTAAGCGGGCCAATATATCATCTGACGTAAACGGAAAAATACTGAAAATTTACAAGCAATAAACATTGCAAAGTCATAACTATTTGCGTCTGACATTTTTTACACCGAAATGGTTTTACACGAAAGAAAACTCCTCTGGCACGTGCCAACCCGATAAGAGAAGATTTTACTCGGAGGTTTAATTTGAAAGTTGGATTCTCTGCCAGCCGACAAGAAAGTTACCGTTCCTAGCTGAAAATGCTCATCGTAATTAGTTTATATTATCCAAAGCAAGCCGAGAACGCATTATTTCGTCGGATTGTCGATAGGCCTAAGTGATTTCGAGTGGTCGGTGTTTCTTTTGGTAAACATTTCTTTTAACATCGGGCAAAAGTTGCGTTCTCTTGCCCCGGGGTATAGAGTATGTGCGCGGAAGCCATGTTGGAGGAGTAAACCGAATTCGACGATTTTCCTTTGGGAAAAATGCAAATAGTTTATTTATTGTTACTCCTCCAACCTGGCCGCCGTGTACAGACTATACAAGGAAGGGGTCAAGTCAAGTCAAGTCAAGTTTAGTTCATTGTGTAAAATACATTTTAGTTAGTTATTTGTGAGAAAACTCACTAGCTCTTTGCAGGTATTACACATTAAAATAAAAAATAAGAAAATGAATTGATAATCATAACTAAAATATATACAAAATAACTAATTGAAATGATAAAATGTAAAAACTATTTGCATGAGACTAAAAAATTTCACAAATAAGATAAAGCTAAAACTATTTGCAATGCGATAGACTGGTACTAGTAGGTCGTGAGTTAATTATAGTAAACCTGACAAGTCTTGCCGTTTTCTAATCAGTGTCTAATACTATTTATAAAAGCCTTGAAAATCGTATCGTTCTATATGAAACGGGTATTGAATTCCACAGTTATGGCGCTGTAAACCGCCAAGATTTAAGGCCGTATGTTGAAGAGCTGGCAGCATTAAAATATCATTTNCTTGATGTCCTCTAGTGAAACTGTGTTGTTGACGCCAAAAAGAGTCTCGTCTTTTTGTGGACTATCCCTGTATTTCACTGTAGTTTCGAGTTCTAAAAGGCGGTTTTCGATTCCTTCTTCAAGAGTTCGGTTTATACCCGACAGTCCCAGGCACAAGCTTCCATTATAATCAAGTAATCTCACTCTTTCAGTCGACACCCTTACGGCTCGGTCTTCTGGAATGGAAACGTAGCTTCCGTGCACTGGAAATCCATCTCGGTAAACTGGAGCGTTAAGCAGTGTATATCTGGTTATAAGATAGCCAGCCGCGAATTTGGTGAAGAGTTTGGTGCGCGAAACGCTTCGGGTTTGGGCCTTGATAACAGGAGTACGGTAAGTGGTTGGCGTGATCGGGGTGGTCCTGGTGATTCTGCGTCCAGTTGAGCGGCTCCCTCCACTTGTTCTACTTGTCCCACTGCTTCCTCCACGACTGCCTCGGCTGCCGCTTGATGATCGACCTCCTCCGCGGCTTCCGCGGGCATCGACGTCACTTAGCAGCAGTAAGACTACCAAAATTATGACCGAAAGAGCGGTAATGTTTCTCATATTCGTCTTAAGAAACCGTAATACTTGTCAAATAGTTGCACTCTAAATAAACTGAAAACAACCAGCACAGTGTCGTGGTTTGTGTAGAAAAATGTAAGCGGGCCAATATATCATCTGACGTAAATGGAAAAATACTGAAAATTTACAAGCAATAAACATTGCAAAGTCATAACTATTTGCGTCTGACATTTTTTACACCGAAATGGTTTTACACGAAAGAAAACTCCTCTGGCACGTGCCAACCCGATAAGAGAAGATTTTACTCGGAGGTTTAATTTGAAAGTTGGATTCTCTGCCAGCCGACAAGAAAGTTACCGTTCCTAGCTGAAAATGCTCATCGTAATTAGTTTATATTATCCAAAGCAAGCCGAGAACGCATTATTTCGTCGGATTGTCGATAGGCCTACGTGATTTCGAGTGGTCGGTGTTTCTTTTGGTAAACATTTCTTTTAACATCGGGCAAAAGTTGCGTTCTCTTGCCCCGGGGTATAGAGTATGTGCCCGGAAGCCATGTTGGAGGAGTAAACCGAATTCGACGATTTTCCTTTGGGAAAAATGCAAATAGTTTATTTATTGTTACTCCTCCAACCTGGCCGCCGTGTACAGACTATACAAGGAAGGGGTCAAGTCAAGTCAAGTCAAGTTTAGTTCATTGTGTAAAATACATTTTAGTTAGTTATTTGTGAGAAAACTCACTAGCTCTTTGCAGGTATTACACATTAAAATAAAAAATAAGAAAATGAATTGATAATCATAACTAAAATATATACAAAATAACTAATTGAAATGATAAAATGTAAAAACTATTTGCATGAGACTAAAAAATTTCACAAATAAGATAAAGCTAAAACTATTTGCAATGCGATAGACTGGTACTAGTAGGTCGTGAGTTAATTATAGTAAACCTGACAAGTCTTGCCGTTTTCTAATCAGTGTCTAATACTATTTATAAAAGCCTTGAAAATCGTATCGTTCTATATGAAACGGGTATTGAATTCCACAGTTATGGCGCTGTAAACCGCCAAGATTTAAGGCCGTATGTTGAAGAGCTGGCAGCATTAAAATATCATTTCCCCTGAGGTCGCCCGCGCACCAAACTATACGTCAGATCTCAGTATGTTTTCTGTTTTGGGGTGATACTTTAATTTCATGATTTAATTCCGTGACGAAAATAGAAATCGTGAACCTGTCACTTAGTTTCTCTCGCTAGTTTTCCCCACATATCTGTCCATCTCATTCATACACCTAATTGCAAAAACCTTCCCATAGAAATATGCCAAAAACGGGGACAAATACTGTAGCTAAATACTGTAGCTCTGCCATAGATTTGTGCATGTGTAATTATGATAATATTTTGTTCTACTAATTTAACTGAGTGAGCCCATTCCTTATAAGCCCGGTGGCTTCCCTTGGGCTTTCTCGCCACTAGCGTTTTAAATAATTAGATTTTCTTGTTTTTGTACAACTTATGGCAAAACAATAAACTGAACTGAGCTGAACTAAACAGGAATAAATTAGGCACGCTCACTAAAATTCTGGCTGTTCTGGTCTAGTCTAAAGCCAAAGAAAGAAGAAGAAAACGTCTTTACAGTTTCCAATTTACCTTCCTTCAACTCAGTTGATGTCAAATTGAAGTATAATACCCTACTGCAAAAATTCTTTCAGGATTACCAAAATATCAAAACGTTTAAATTTGCAAGGCTAATTTATTCCTATTTCGTATTTCTGAATTTTCTTTTTCTGTTTGCTTTTTTGTATGACAACGTTAATGCATGCAATTATTATTTTCAAAAAAATCTTTGAAGTAGCTTGGGACCAGGCTCCACAGTCGGGGACCACTGTATTTAGTTTAAGTTTTAAAAATACTACTGCGCAAAAGTCATTGTCCCTCAACCAGTTTTTGTCTTTCAAAGGCTCCAAAGTAACCGATCAGAAAGGGCGACTATAACATGGAATTTTAACGATCAACAAAGAAAATATTGATTAGGCTTTAACTGTGAGACCATTATTGCTAACCAACTGAAAAGGTACAAAAGGGCTCTCGTCATTTCAGGATATATACTTAACCTGGTTGGTTGCGAGACACGCATTTTTTAAAATTACCCGTTGACTTTACGCACAAGAGCCATGGACACTGCATGACCACAGGAAGAGGAACTCTGGATCCTGTTCTAGCGGCAAATTGCAGCACGAGTATCAGACCTTCCTTAGGGTTTAGGAAAGGAAAGGGAAGGTTTTTTTTGTCTCCTTAAAAGAAAAACACAATGCTCTGGCTACTCATATTGCTGTCAGTCAGACAAAACGTTGCATCAGACCGACTAAAAGGTAAGGTGAAGGTCCTTTTTTACGTCACTGACTCATCATAGTACAGATTTGACTGACAAACCTGCTTTGGCCGACGATACGGGCATTTTACTGCCCTCTCTCCACCAGTGCTCCGATTTTCAGCTATTTAAAGCTACACGAAAAAGAAAGAAGTTGGAATAAGGATTTAAGGTCGCACCTGGGAATGGAATTGAACTTGAATCCTTCCGGAGAGATAGGAACCGACTGAGCTAATCCTTGCGGATCCTTGAGGGGTTTCGGGGCAAGTGGCAAGTCAAACGGAAAGCTTGATCGACAGCGGCTTTCAGGCCTCAGTTTATCGACTTCTCTGAGTCCTTTCTCTGCCACTGCTTTACCATATACATGCACAAACTGCGTTAGATTCTGCCGCTGAATAATGGACCCCTTCGTTGCAAGTTTCAGTAAAAGTGGATCGCTCTCAAACCTGATAGCTGGTGTGGGGTCCATTTTCTGGCCTACTTCCAGGCAGTTACACAGTGACAACGTCTGTCTTTTATGGAGACGATTTAAAATTCGCTTTGTAGCGACAGAATATGTTTAAAAAAATTCAACGTCAAAAAATAACTGTCACTTTTTGAGAACAATACTAATATATCGAGAGCCATAAAAAGATAATAGCGAGTTTTTTCGACCAGAATTTGTTAAAAAGAATTCAACGTCAAAAATTTTTTCTCATTATTGAAGAACAGTGTTAATATGCCGAGAGACACAAGAAAAACGTCATGGCAAGAGATGGCGAGTACCCTGCGAGCAGAGGTTTCCTTTTGGCATGGCTCTTAGCATTTATCATCTACGCGACTGTCAAGCCACATCAACGACTTCGTAAATACTATAAGACATGCCAGAAAGAAACCTCTACTGGCAGGGTAAATGGCGAGCTTTTAGCCACAGATATTTGCTTAAAAAAAATCAACGTCAAAAAATAGATGTCAGTATTTGAGAATACCGTTAGTGTATCGGGAGACAAAAGAAAACATGTTTTCATAATAATAATAA